AGAGAGAGAGAGAGAGAGAGAGAGAGAGAGAGAGAGAGAGAGGGGTCACCTCCACCAGGTGTGCGTCATTTTTGTTCACACAGAGGAAAACATGAAAGAACAACCTTCACATCTCCCTTCTGTTTGTGTTGAGGATCATGACATAAAGCACCAGAGCTGATGGAAGCTCTGAGATCCTCTTTGGTCCGAGAGAAGAAAAAAAAGTGATTATGACAATGATTTATGTTCTGATCTGTGGAAAACCCGCGCGCGAACATGTGCGTTCATGWACAGACACACGAGGGGAGCGTAAAGAAACCTTTTTTTAAGTCACCTTTGGAGCTTTTTCATCACCTTCTTTTTGCTGACAACCAAATTTCTGGAGTTTGTTGGGCATTGGGTTATTTGTGTTGCCTTAAATGTTTCCATGACTCTTTGCTCCGCTTCGCTTGAAACGGAATCTGAATGGCAACAGCTTCATATTTCAAAACATTAAAAACGTGGTCCAACGCYTTTTTTTCCTTTTATGTTTCATAAAACTTTAATAAATGGTCACAATTATTAGGCAGATTTTTATAAAATAGCTAATGACCAAAATTCCGTGGTTTTAAGTAATAATATTATTTTACATGAAAATAAGTTCAACAATTTAAGACATTCGAGTTTTTTATGCGTCTTTTACGCACGGGATGTTTTGGGGGTAATAAAAGGATTATAGGACTGTGAGAGTGCGCAGCGTGTTCCTTTTGTTCCCCTCACCTTTTAGATTGTGCTTCCGACGGGTTTCTGTCTCTCTGCCTTCTGTTTTTGAACCAGTTGCTGACCTGGGTCAAGGAGAGTCCTGTTATCTTGGCGAGATTTCGCTTCTCGGCTGGAGACGGGTACCTATTCTGATTATAGAGATCCTTCAACGCGTTCCGCGACCTCTCCTTGAAACAATAAACAGTCTCCTCGCCGTCCCAGATAGTCCTAGGAAGAGGGTACTTTCTCCGGATCCGATACTTATCCACGGCGCCCAGGGGTCTCCCCCGCGCCTTCTCCGCCTCGGTGTACCGAGCCTTGTACCACAGATCTTGCAGGAAGGTGTGGTTAGTGGGGTTGAAGTTGTGGTTCTCCAAAATACTGTACAGCTCATGGTACCGAGCCTGGTGGAAAGCGACGAGGGCTTGCGCCTTCAGGATGCTTTCGTTGCCACGGAGCAGGTCGCTCTGGGGCAGGGACCACAAGAACCTCGCCAGCCGGTCCACGTTGCCTCCCTGCTGCAGCGCCTCGCAGACGCACGCCACTTGCTCCGGGGAGAAAGCCAGGGAGGAAGCGGCGCTCACCAGCAGCTCCGTGCGCACCGCGTCCGCGCCGGGAGTCGCGCGCTCCATGGACAACTCCGCCGCGTCCAGCTGCACAAGCTTGATGCACTCCCGCGTATCCACCTCCTTCACATTTTCCCTCTTGATGTCATTTGCTGTTGTGACCTCTCCGGCAGAAGAAGAAGACATTTTTTCCCCTCTTTTTGCTCAAGCCTTCCCTGGTAGAGTCACTCCTCCCAGCTCGATCAGGTTACCTCCTCGCCATGCAAACGCGATCAGATATCTGACAGCAGCTGTAAGTAGATCTCTCTCTCTCTCTCTCTCTCTCTCTCTCTCTCTCTCTCTCTCTCTCTCTCTCTCTCCTCTTCCTCCCAACGTGACTTTTACTCTGCGGGGACTGGAGCAGGAGGGAGACACGCTGGGGTCTATCTGCAGGAGAGCCACGCTATTGGCCGCAGAGGGGCCCATAAGGGAGGAGCGAGCGGGATTCATACACGAATGTTTGGTTTCCAGTCGTCAGTCAAACTTCCAGTATAGCTTTTATTCCCGAGGYTCACCTGTACAAGGTGAGTGCTTTTGGGATCGTGGGAAAGAAAAAAAAAATCTTGTCGATTCTGCTCTCATTTGCGCACAAAATATATATTTTTCCCCATACCAGAGGAAATCCAGGAGCATTTTAAAACTGATTATTTCTGTCTGAAATGCAAAACATTAAAATGTTAAATCTGATTTATTTAAATTTATTAAATTCTTTCAGTGACAAACTCCTCTTTATTCCCGCACCATATCCCAGAAATCAAATTAATTTAACTGTCCAAAAACAAAAAAGAAATTGCTGGTGAAAAAAAAAATCCAAATGTTAATTTCACATATCTTTATTTAGTTTGATTGTGTTGATTGGAGATCTGTTCAACTGACAAAAGAAGAAGCTTCACACTTGTATCTGAGGCTTTCTTAAATCCTTATTTTTAAACAGGCTTTAATAGCTCAGATTAAAATGTGTTTTTCTTTGCAAAAGTTTCTCCTATTCTTTTTTGAAACACACAATTATAAATTTTAATAATCAAATCAAATAAATCAATTAGGCTGTTGAGTCTGATTTTAATTTTCTCGATAAAACATGCTTTTACAAACAGTTGGGACCCATGGCCCTGATAAAGTTTGATAAATTGGTCAGATTTGAAAAAAGATTAAATCTAAAATAYAACATTTAACAAAAAATCTTCCCAATTTTGGGCTATTGCAAAAATAAAATTGTGACATTTAACAAGATGTGACATTTAAAAAATGTTGAGGAATACAGGCTTATTCTTATACAATTTGTGCAATCCAAATCCAAATTCCATATTATTATATCCCTCCAAAAATAGCCTGATGCCAGAAATTTTTTATTTTTTCTTGACAACTATCATTTGATTTAAAATCAGTTTTGTTTTAAGTTGAGTTCATGATCTATATCTATTAAATCACATAATATATATAATCAAAAACATACATTTCACTCTCTATACATAAAACCTCTGAATATATAAAAAACTACTTTTCAGAGCCGCAGAACCGATTTACAACGTAGGAACTAATAATTTTGTGCCGTTTCACGTCGAACCGGTTTTAGTGTGACGCATCAGTTCGCTGCTTGGGAAGAGAGGAACCCAGGAGTTGACAGTTTTCTGTTGTTTTTGTGTTTATTTAGAGGCAGAAATGGACGACCAGGGGTGTCCGAGGTGCAAAACCACCAAATACAGGAACCCGTCGTTGAAGTTGATGGTGAACGTCTGCGGACACACGCTGTGAGTTTTTCAATGTTTAATTTAGCTAAAACGTGAAGAAACCAGGCAGATGCTTCGGCTGACAAACCACTAAACATCACAACAGGATTGAAGAGCAGCACCAAGTCGTGTCGTTTAGTTAAAAAAACTGCACTCTTGTAAAGCATTATATTTGCTATATAATATAGATGCGATAGATTATTCTATCTAGTTAAAAAAATACCTCGTAAGTGCAATAATGAAGATTAATTTGGTACAACAGGAAAACAAGCTTGTAAAGAAGAAGTCCAACTGTTGACACTGCACAGCTGTCGGCATCAGTTTTATTAACTGCAGYACATTTAATGAAGCTGAACAAAGTCCTTTACTGTCGAGCTAAACAGGACATGTTTAGCTTTTCTTAATGTTGAATRTAACAAAAATCTAATAATAAACACAGTAAATTGTAAACAATAACAAAATAAAAACAGCAGAACTGAAACACAAGATTATTCAGCAGATATTTATTTGTCCCTGTGTAATTAATAATTTGTGTGCCTGTTCAAGCACATGTTTGAAATAATGGTGCCTCAGTCAAGTTATAAAACGTATGTTTAAAACTACATACAAGCTAAAATTAAATTAATTAGATGACAGATTTTAATTGGCCAATACTGGTTATTTGGGGGGRAAAAATGCAATCTAAAGAAAATTGAAGACATTTTTAGTGGTCAACAATTACATTTTTTTGTGAGAATGCGTTTATGTAAATTGTTTTCTTGTAGTTCTTATAGTGAAGCAGTTATTGTTATATTTTGTTAAATGTAAAATACATAWTGCTCTTTTTACACTAAACGACATGCACAGTGTCAGTATTTTGCAATGCATTGTGGTTTAAATATATTCATGGCTACTTCCGGTTCATTAAAATCCATTTAGTCTAATCAGTGTTCCTATCTACCTGTTTCTGCTGAGCTCTGCAGTCCCGCTGACATCCAGCAACAATGCACATTAAGGACATTTTTATATCACAATGTAAAACACCAATAGAACTCATCTATAATGTATGTCTAATGTATGATGTCATTGTAGTGTTACGGTTTGACTAATGTGTMAAATCTAATTATAATTTCTGGTGTAAATGTAGTTCTAACTGATCACCTGCCAGAGGATTTCAGCATATAAATCAGACTGACAGGTTGGAACTTGTTACTCCCAGAGCGTCTTGTGATGAAAACGCCTCAGGTGTTTAGTGACACAACCACAACATACTGGTTTTTTATGTTCACATGTGTGACTTAGAAAGAAAAAAAAAGATAAACTGATTTAATGCCATGAACTTCTGACACAGCAGCTTCTCCGAGCCGTTGCTTTGGTTCTACAAGTTTGTGAAACTCTAGCAGAGAGATTTAACATCAGTGGCAGTCTCCTGTACTGCACTGCCACTGGCTCACCTTGTTGTGGACGTCAAGAGTTTAAAACTGGTAGCTGATTAATTATTATTTAATCAATACATTTTGTGTTTAAGCATCCTTGGTAGATCTGATCAGTGTAAAATTATTTCTGATTTTACTTGAACCAAAAGGTTTGCATTGCACAATGATCCTAACATGATGTTGTAGCCTACATGGAAATTTCAAGTGTTTAATTTCCATGAAGCTTTTGTGAAACTGTGTCCATTTCTATCATGATTATCAATAGTGTCACATTCGCGCTACATGTTTTGGACCTTACCTGAATGTCACCTCTTGGTAAAACTTGTTTGTTGTGCGTTTTTCCTAAATTTATTCTTGTCAGCTCTTCAAAAACCTGAAAAAAAAAATGAAATATGTCCTCCAATGAATGTGGTGGCCTGATGGACTTGACTTTTTGTAACCGTGTCTGTTTATTGACCGAACCATGAGGAAGTAGTCGTGCTTTGTCATCAGGTCAGCGGGCTCATAACTCTCTGGCTCTGTCTGGATACACACACAGAAAATTAAACTGATTCTGCAATGAAGCACTTTGGAGTGACGTCCCAGCTCCGGTCACCTTGGATTTGTTTGGTGCAACAGTAAATTTATGCAGCACGTAGAAACTGCTGTTCCCTCTAACTCTTACTGGGTTTCCTTTATTTCTTTTCAACTTCTCTTATTGAATACTCTAAGTCTATAATGCAGTTTGAGATTATGTTTCAATAACACAGGTATTGATTTTATGTTTGATATAGTCAAGAACTTTTAGAAAATGAAATGTAAGAAGTGGAAAATGTAAAAACGAGTCTGTGTAGTAATAATGATACCAGAAAGCACAGTTGATWTGAGAGAGTAATAGAAACCTTCAGAAATTCAGAATTAAACTGTTAGCGCAGTCTTGTTTGGTTTGCTCTTTTTTCCTGACTGATCTGTTGGACGTTATATTCAGCAATATAT